GTCAAATTGTCATTATTGGCAAATCACATGATACTCTATATGTTAGATCCCAAGAACTCCACCAAAAGTCTTCTAGCCTTAATAGTTAAATTCAGTAGAGTAGCTGGATACAAGGTCAACACACAAAAATCAACCGCTTTCTTGTACACGAACAACAGACTCTTTCTTGTACCCAAACAACAATCAACAAGTGGGAAATCTTGTCAAAAAGATTCTGTATTGGAAGAGAAACCACCAATAGTGTGAAGGGACAACCCACAATGTGGGAAAAATTTTTACCTGTTGTTCCTCAGACAAAGGTCTGTTATTTAGAATATATAACGATCTTTAAAAAATCAGACTGCCCAAATTTAAAGACCCAATCTAAAAATGGGCAGATATTTTTCAGACAAAGAAGCAGAAATAGCAAATAAACACATGAAAAATAGCAAATAAACACATGAAAAAATGTTCAACATCACTGGTCATTTGAGCAATGCAAATGAAAACAATACTGAGTTTCCATCTTACCCATAAAGAATGACTGCTATGAAGAAACAACCAATAAGAAATGCTGGTGGGTTTGTGGGAAGAAAAAAAACTCCACTGATGGTAGGAATGGAGACTAGTCAACCACTGTGGAAATCAGTATGGACATAACTCAAAAAGCAAGGGTTAGATATTCCTTTCGACCCAGGTATTCCAGGGCTGGTATATTCCCTAAAGAATTAAAAGCATCATACCACAGCACTGTATGTACATTCATGTTTATAGGGGCACAGTTTGTAATAGCTAAATTTTGAACAGCCTAAATGCCCTTCAACTGCTGACTGGATAAAGAAGATATGACTTTTTAATAAAATGGACTTCTACCAAGCCATGAAGTATGAGAAACTATAAAAATTTATAGGTAAATGGAGGCACATTGAGGCCATACTCTTAAGTGAGTAAATAGGACACACATATAAATACTGAATAGTTTTTCTGGTGTCAGAAACTGAAAGTGTAAATGAAATCAAAATGTATGACAGATAATATGAAATAGGAAGAAAAGGTCCAAAAGGGAAGGGGAAGGGGGAATGGGTGGTGTAGGGGAATGAAAAGGGAAAGGAAAAAAAAAATATGAGAAAAGCAAAAAATGAAAACAAAGTTTTTGTAAATAGGGAGGTATGTGGGGGTGTTGTAGGACAGTCAGGGGAATCAGGAAAACAATAAGAACTAAGATGTATTATGTAAAGTTACAAATTCTCAATAATGAATGTCAACTTATTATATACCTAAAATGTACCAATAAAATTAATGAAAAAAAGAAAAAAATTTATGTGGAATACAACAGACTCAAAAGAGGCGAAGCAATGCTAAACAACAAGAACAAGGCCAACAAGGCTGGAGGCAACACAATACCTGATTTCAAATTATACTACAAAGCTACAGTATCAAAAAAAAACCAAAAAACAAAAAAACAAACCATAGCATGGCACAACACTGAGAGGAAAAGAGACACACAGCTCAAGTGAAAAGTTAGACAAAGGAGCCAAAAATATAATCTGGAGAGAAGGGTTTTAAAAATTGGATCTTTAACAATTGGTCCTGGGAAAACTGGTTATTTCCTTAGAGAAGACGAAACTAGAACCCTTCTCTTATCCTGTAGAAAAATCAATTCAAAATGTGTCAAAGACTAGTTGTAAGACCTGAAACTTTGAAACTGCTAAATGAAAATATAAGGGAAACACCTAAACCCATAGGCACAGGTGAAGATTTCTTGACTAGGAATCTAATAGCTTAAGAAATAATAATAAGGATCAATAAATTGGACTACATCAAATTAAAAAGGTTTTGTACAGCAACAGAAAGAACCAAGAGAGTGGAAGAAAATCTTTGCCAGGTACTCTTTGACAGAGGATTAATATCTAGGATATATAAAGAACTAAAAACCTTAATACCAAAAAGAGCAAACAGCCCAATAAATAAATAGGTAAATGAACAGGACACTTCACATAGACAAATCATAAAAGGCCAATAAGTATATCAAAAAGTGTTTACTATCACTAGCCATTACGGAGATGCTAACCGGAACTACATAAGCATCCATGCCTTCCCAGAGTGGCTCTCATCAAGCACACAAAAACAGTAAACACTGGCAAGAATGCAGGGGAAAAAAACGAACCTTTCTGCTGGTGGAAATATAAATTAGTACAGCCACTACGGAAGGCATTAGGGAAGTTCCTCGAACTAAAATTAGAGCTACCATTTGATCCAGCAATTCCATTCCATGATGGAGAACCTATGGCACATGTCACAGTGGACACACAGTTACTACCAAGTGGCCCAGCAGCACCCAGCAGCCACTCAGTTTTAATTAGAGTGTTGGCACTTTTCTATAATTAAGTGGGTTTTGGATTGCAGTTTGGGCACTCGGTCTCTAAAAGGTTCACCGTCATTGAGAATACCTATATATACATGTTTACTGTGGCACAATATACAATAGCCAACACATGGAAGCAGCTCAGGGGCCCATCACCAGATGGATAAAGACAATGTGGTATATATACACAATGGAGTATTACTCAGACATGAGAAAGAATGAAATTTTGGCAACTGCAGAAAAATAGATGGATCTAGAGTTCATCATATTAGACTCATAAAGACAAATATCACATGTTCTCAGTAATATGTGGAATCTGAAAAAGACGATAAGAGAGTAAAAAGGAGATTATTACTAGACAAGAGGAAGGGAATACAGAGAGTGGGGTGCTGTAAGGGCTGGTAATGAGGGCAATAAATATAATCAAAATACATTATACACACTGAACTCCCAAAAATATGAACCCAGATGAGGAGATTATGGTAAGGGGAGCGATGGGGAGAATGATTTAAGTATATTTATATGCATGTATAAATCTACCAAAATGAAACCCATTAGTCTGCATAACCAATATGCCCGTGAATAAAAAATGTGAAAAAAAAAATAAAATATATTCCTTTGCTCAAAAAGAGTATGAAAAAATAGCCTGGGGATGTAGTTTTTTTCTTTTTTTCTTTCTTTTTTTTTTTTAGACTGGATCTCACTATGTAGTTGAGACTGACCTGGAACTCACTATGTAGCCCAGGCTGGTCTTGAACTCACAGTGATCCTCCTGTTTCAGCCTCCTGAGTGCTGGGATTATAGATAGGCATGTGCCACATGCCAGGCTTGGGTTGTTTTCAATGCTGCAAATGAAAAAAGAAAAGGTTCTGGAATGAAAGGAATTATCTATAGAAGACCTTGGCAATCCAATTTCTACAAGAGCCTCTGTAAAAAGACTCTAGGGTTGTTGTTTTGTTTTTGGCAGTACTATGGCTTGATCCCAGGATTTAGCACAGAGCTACACTCCCAGCTTTCTTTTTTGGTGGGGGGAGAGGCGGTAAGGGTCTTATTAAATCACTGAGTTGCCCAAACTGGGCTCAAACTTGTGAACTCTGCACCATAACAAAAGCACTGTGTGGCTCTGCAACCAGGCTTGGAGAAAGGAAGCTTTATGTCAGAGCTTTGAAAACCTGAGCACCCTGGAGTAAAGGTGCTTGCAGTCCTTCCACCAAGGGCTAGCAACTAAGGTCTAGATATCCAAAGAAAAGCTACAGGTTAGGCTAAAGTCAATGTAATACACACAGATGTTGTAACTTTTCAAGTTTTCTAACTCAAAATGACAGGGATTCTATAGAAATCACTTAGAATGGGATGTAGGAACTCTGGTTTGGTCAAGACCCAGAAGCATTCAACAGAGGATTCATATTTACAAATTCTAAAGGTGTTTCAGTCCTTAAGGTAAAGAAGCACGTTTGCTGATAGATCACTGATTATTGCAGGTAAGGTTTTTTACATTCACAAACAACAAAACCTCATGTGTGAGCTCTTGACTGGAACTCTGTGATGCACTGTTGAAATGTAATGTTTCCAGCCCTCTGGGAGGGTGAGGTAGGAGGACAAAGTTTGAGCCCAGCCTGGGAAACTCAGCAAGATCCTGTCTTAAAACAACAACCACAACAATAAAAAAACAACAACAAAGGGTTGGGGATGTAAACCTCAGATTCAACTGCCGGTATCATAAATAAATACATACGTAAATTTAAAATACTCTGAATGCTGAGTACTTCTCGCTCTTCAATGAGAAAAATCTACTTACTCTTAATGGGAAGTGGGGAGGGACATAACAAGGCTACGGAAAACTGCAAAACAGAGCGAAGGTGTTTCCTAGGGAATTAACTGCAGCACTCCACTTGATCTTAACCAAAAGGCCGAGAAGCGATTGCAGCACTCCAATTAAAAGTTTGGCATTATCTGGTAGCTATGCATAATCCATGAATCCACAACTCATATTTGTATTTTGGAAATTCCAACACCTTTGCATTAGGGTCCAGGTAAAGGAAGTTTACCACATTGTTCTGAGTGGCCCTAAATTGTAAGAAATATACATCAATAGTAGCATGCACAGACTGCTGTATTCACATAATACCAGACCGAAATGAAACTTATCTATACACATGCACAAATTTCATATTAATTGGAAGCTACCAAATACCACAATGTTTCCAAGTCAAAACCAGGCATCCTCAACTATACTGCATTCTTATAAACAGTATGCGGTGAAGTTGAAAAGAAGGTAAGAAAGTGATTATCACAAATTCAGTCTAGGGAGGGAATTTCGCTCATAAGAGAACACAGGGTAGGGGAGTTCCTGGGGAACCCGCAGTGCTCTTATTGGCTTTACCTGGTTGTTTTACATCATTCCTTAAGAATGTATTTGCTATACCTTGCATTTGCTATACCGCTTTAAAATGTATCAGTAGCCCTGCAAAAATTGGCGCCTCCACAAAGGTGACAGCTAGACCACGATTCACCTATTAAGGCAAACCAACTCTGAACACGAGGAGAAACAGGCCCTAAGACCCGCTGAGGTCCTTAAGGGCTGGAGAACTGGAGTCTCCTACTGAGTAGGCGAACCTTTGCGAGTTTTTAACGATTACAAACAGCCCGCTGCGGCATGCGCGCCACAGTAACTCCAAGTGAAGTTTCCAGAGTGGCAAGGCTCCAAGCGTCCCGAGAAGGGGCTGGGCTGCGCACCGCACCGCACCGCGGCCTCCGCCCTCAGCCGGCGCAGGTGACCGCACGTGCATTCCAGATTCCGGGCCC